ACCCGCTCGCTCCTTTTGCTTTCCTTCTTTTTTTAAACTCCTGGATTTTACGTGTATTGCACAGAAACACTGCTGCCGTAGGTAAGCTCTGAAAGGTGAAATTTCTTCCTCGACGTGGGCCTAGGTTCTTTGGAATCACAGTATCGGCAGCGTCGCCCCCAGTCAGCCCAACGCCTGGTATCTACTTAAAACCCGGGTGTCTGCCCCCAGCAGCTCCGGCCAGTGCCCGACAGGCCTGGGCTCTGGCAAGACCTCTGAGTGTTAGTCTCAGGGAAGAGTTTTAGGACAGGCCCTTGAGTGGCGTTTTAGAAACCTTTGGGACCCAGGAAAGGATGGTTCTGCCCTTGGCCCGCCTTCCTTCCTCACCCACCCTGGAGGCTGGGCTATGAGAATGGATTATGAGAGTGGGAGTAGCCTCCCAGTTTCTTGGAGCTGGTCCCCAGGTCAGCCACCTTTGATGGGGGGCGGGGGGGCAGGCAAGGCAGCTGCTGCTTTATCTGGCCTGGGTGGGTTGGGAGCCAAGCAGCCTGGCAGACGGGTCCCTGTTGTTTGCCAGTAGCCAGGGATTCTGGCATTTTGTTCCAAGCCTCTGTGCTAGTTCATGGAAAGGAACTAGTGAATCATTGGCTCAGGAAGGGATTTTAAAAAATGGTACGGTTCCCTCAGTTCTGTTTGACAGCCCAGGAAACAACCCTAGAGAAGTGTGGTATCAAGTTAAGTCAGAGTCAGGATTTGAGGCTGGATTTTCTAGTGTGAAGTCAGGCTCTTTTCTGAGATCATTTTCTGCCACGTGGGAAAGAACCACGGGGTAGAAAAAGCGTGGGCTTTTGGACTGGCCCGTGGTTTAATCTGCGGGTTGTGTGAATGTGACCCTGGGCAAGATATTAAACTTTTCCGAGCCTCAGATTCTTTATCTCTAGAATGGGGCAAATGATACCTTCCTCCCAGGGAGTGTGAGCACTCTATGGGAAAGTGAAGGTAGGTGAAAGCTCTCGGCATTTGGTGGATGCCCAGTTCTTATGACTTTCCTGAACAGATAGCGTAGTGCTTAAGATCACAGATCGTAGATTTAAATCCCTGCTTCATCACATATGATCTCCACTTTAGGCGTGATACCTCTCTGTGCCTCAGTTTTCTTGCCTGTAAATGGAGATAACAACAGGTCCTACCAAATAGAGTAGTTGAGGATTAAATAGTTAATACACTTAAAGTACTTAGTAAGTTGTTATCTGTAGCTTTTATCAACTTTTCTCATTTTCCCTCCCTTGAGAGTCTAGAGACCTGATTCCTGACATTGTTTCCTCTCTACCATGTTCCCTCTCTTCAATTCCACTTTCCTCCTCTGCCAGGTATTTTGTCAAAGTGGCCTGGGGCTGGACCTTCTGTCTCCTCCTGCCTTTCATTGCCCTCACCAACTATCACCTGACGGGCAAGGCTGGCCTGGTCCTGCGACGGTTGAGCACTCTGCTTGTGGGCACGGCCATCTGGTATGTCTGCACAGCCATCTTCTCCAGTGTTGAACACTACACAGGCAGCTGCTACCAGTCACCAGCCCTGGAGGGGATCAGAAAGGAGCACCAGAGTAAGCAGCAGTGCCACAGGGAAGGAGGCTTTTGGTATGGCTTTGACATCTCAGGCCACTCCTTCCTGCTGACCTTCTGTGCCCTCATGATTGTGGAGGAGATGGCTGTGCTGCATGAGGTGAAGACCGACCGAAGCCACCATCTCCACACCGCCATCACCACCCTGGTCGTCGCCCTGGGCTTCCTGACCTTCATTTGGGTGTGGATGTTTCTGTGCACTGCCGTTTATTTCCACAACCTGTCCCAGAAAGTATTTGGCACCCTGTTCGGTTTGCTGGGCTGGTATGGGACATACGGGTTTTGGTATCTGAAATCTTTTTCCCCAGGACTTCCTCCCCAGAGCTCTACTTTGAATTTGAAGCAAGACAGTTATAAGAAATAAAAGAAAAACACAAGGAACAACAGCAGGACAATGGCTAATATATTTTTGATTTATTTTTCTTAATTATTTGACTAAATTATTGATTCTACATCAGAGAGGAAGCTCACTGGGCAGTTTCGGTGGGTGGTGGTGGAGTCTGGGGAACTCATTCCCCAGATTGTTCTTGGCGACATCACTCTGTGTCACAAGCACCACCATTTCCAGTTAGGCACTTTTTGTCCCTGGCAAGACTTGACCTTAATCTGGACTGTCCCTTTTGTCCCTAGAGGGCACTAAGGCTCAGTGACAGGGCAGAATCAGGAAAGCCTCTTCTGTGTGGCTGAAGGGGAGGCCAGGGCCTTAGGACTCATCTGCTGTCATCGTTCTCTCCCTGATTCTAGTCATCTTTTGTTTTAATGACTGTTATTGCTATTATTTAACAGTATTTCCCTCTGGTCAAAACAACCAACCATGGCCTGAAAGACATTCTGGCTTTAGCATTTGTTTCATCCGTGGAATGTTAAACATTGCAACTGCCTTGTGATTACCTACCAAAACACTTAAACTGGAGTCCCTCTGCAAATGAATATTGGATGATTTTCATGTAATGAACAGTGAGTGATAATTTTCTGTTGTGTTGTCTATTATATATTGGTGTTTGGAGCAATAAGGTTACCTTTTTTCCCCTTATATTTTGAATGAACGCTTTATAGTTTTTAATAACAACTATGGCATTTGTTCTTTGTTGACAAAACTCCTGAAAATAACTCACAACTCTGCTGCTGCACTTTTGCACATGTGTGTAGATTGCTTTGAGGGTTTTTTTTTTTGGAACACTAACTTTTTATGAACCAAACTCTTGGCTGATGGTATTAAATTCCACCTTTGAATAAAACCAGAAATTAGACCTTTTAATAATAACGATGAATTTTAAGCTGAATCAGAGTAATTTTATAAAATGTGTAATTGCACTGAAACTTACCTCACCACATATTATTGGTATAGACTGACCAGTGCTTCAGAGTGATATGTACATTGATCAGTCTGCTGTGGCCCAAGGCCATTTTTACCTTTGGATAGATTATAATAAGTCAGAAGTGAAGGAGAATGCCTTCCATTGCCTCTGATGGCAAGAAACTAAGCTGTTTGAGAAGATGTCCTTATTAAATGGTGGCATGACTTTGGCCTTACCCTCCTCTAATCTGTACCACCATCAGAGGCAAACTAAATCTGGGCCTATTCTACTGGTATTGAAATCACTTTTTCTGTCTCCTTTGCAGCCTTTTCTCAATTTCTCACCTTGATATTCTGTGGTCTTGACTGTGACAGTGCTGGGAAGGGTTAGAAATTCTGTCACCTCCACCTCACAAAGGCACAGTTATATGCTCTGTGAGGGGAGGGGAAGGGAGCTGTCTCCTTAAGCCTTTCAAGCTGAACCCCTTGCGTTTTGGATAATCATCTTTGAAACTTCTTTGACTCCACACCACTCCAGTTAACAGCATACAGATAAGCACTACACTTTTGAATGGCCTAACTCAAGTTTAGGTTATTAGGCACTTGAACTCTGGAAAACCTTCAGGGTAAATTGTATTTCATATTATGATGTATTTAAAATATGTAGTTAGTATCCCCTTTGTATCCAGTTGAGCTGCAAGTTACCTTGTATCGATCAAAATGTGAGATGTGCCACCTTGTACCGAAGTAGGGGGTGTCACCATGGTGGTTTGGGAGCATTGGCCCCATGAGATTATTTTTGCCCTGTGGAGCGCAAGTGGGGCGGAAGTGGGGGTCGTGTAGGTGGCAAGAGCTTGTGGAAGGGACTGAAATCTCTCCAAAGTTTCATGTTCAGCACCAAAAGGCAACAGGCACAGGGTGACTCCAGAAATTCATTTGTTGCACTTGAATCTCTAGACATTTCTCTCATGTGGGTCTGATTCAAACACAGCATTCAATTAACTGCAGAAAGTATCCATGACCTAGCCTTGTACATTGATTAGTCTCCTGCTGCTCCCTGTTCATTCTTAGCACCCTTGCCTTTTTCTTGGGAGCATGCCCTCCATCTGTATGTGAGATAGTCTGGGGCAGCTGAGTTTGGGCTTAGGCAAACTTGAGGCGTGGGTTCAAATGTTGGCACCACTGCTGAGAGCTGCCTGACCAGGGTCAAGCCTCATCTTCCTATGTGTAAAATCCCGATGCTGTTAGGATTCAGGGAAATGATGCATGTAAAATGCCCAACTCATGCAAAATCCCCCACCCCTTTTTCTTGACTAAGCCCTTTAAAACTTTTTGGCTCCTCCAGAGAAGGCAGGGAAACTAACATCTTTTGAGTGCCATTTGGGGTCTGTGTCTCCTGTCGAAATAGTCTTTTATTTTTTGAAAAGTGTCTGTTGTCCCAGGTGCTGAACAAGAGGCTTTGGGGCTCACCTGTGATCCCAGGATGCCACCATTCTTGTTTTGCCTTTCCACGTTGAAGTTCATTCACTGATGCCTCATTTCCCATGTGCATCTGTCATAGTCTGAGTACCAGATTGTATTTAGAGAATGGCTCTTGCCACTGTTATATACACACAGATCGTGTGTGTAAACAAGCAAATTAAGTAAATTGGAGATAATGAAATACCACATTCCAGCTTTTCGTGTGTTCCTTTCTCATACCCTTAAGGAAGTCCACAACCAGTAAAGCTCAGCCCACTTTATGAAAGTAGCATTAATGCTTTGTTGAGCTACTCATTGTATATAGAGTATTTCATTGCTGTGGTTAATCTTGTTTTTTCTCCTGAGTCCTGTAAACTAAATATATGTTCAGTCATACATTTCTTAGCTTGATTTATTCCCCCCCTCCACCGTATCTGTGTCTTGGAGTCCCGGCATCTGGATCAGCCAGATTTGGGAGCAGTTTTCTTGGCAGAAGGAGAAGAGGTAAGCCTCATGGAAGTACCACCAAAGAGCAGTTACAAAGTTCACTCAAATGAGGCCAGCTTTGAAAGTGCCTCTGAGTTCCTCTTAGTGCCCACTCACTTGTCAGCCTAACCTACTTGGGCAACTCCAGGTAGTGTCTGTCGAAAGCTCAGTGGCTCCAGGATTAGAATTTCCTCACACAGGAAGACTTCCCTGTTCAGATTCCTTCAGTAACAATGAACCTTTCTTGAGTTTATACTGTGATCCAGGAGCTCAGAAGGATGCTAGACTTCCTCCCTCTTGGACTTTGTGGCCCAAAGTCAGTCCCTTTGGAGCCTAAGGTGTGTGCTGGGATTGCAAAGGTAAATTTGATACACCTATACCTTCGAGGAATTTTCACCATCAAGTGTTCTGAGTGCCGGTTAAGGTCAGGGCATGGAAGCATAGAGCAATACCAGCTGTGCTGGGAAATGAGGGAATATTTTCACAACCTGACAATTCTTTTGAGTCTTTAANGACAACCAGCTGTGCTGGGAAATGGGGGAATATTTTCACAACCTGACAATTCTTTTGAGTCTTTAAGGATGAGGGNCCAGCTGTGCTGGGAAATGAGGGAATATTTTCACAACCTGACAATTCTTTTGAGTCTTTAAGGATGAGGGGGCATTCAAGCAATTAGGCAGGTGCCTGGGGACACATAGCTGTGCTGCCATGATTTTTAGTCAGACATCCCTTCTCAAGAAACCTACTCCCATCATTTTCAAAAGCAGTGGAGACAGAAGAAAGGCAGACTGACAGGACTGTCGATGGACATGATGGATGTGCCTACTGTCATGGAAAGAACACATACCTGGCTTCGAACTGGGTTCCACCACTGCTTTTTCTGCGTCTCTAAATGACGTTGAATCAGTCACTCAGCATCTCTGGGTCTCAGTTTCTGTATCTGATAAGTGATGGTAGTGAACCGAATAACCTCACCAGCTCTTCTACTCTATTCTGTTTCTTTGTGCTGTTTGATGAAAGGTTCTTCTCAAGCTGGTTATGACTTTTATTTTAGGAAACAACATGAAAAGAAACTCCCACTCAGAGCTGAGGTGGCAGCTAGTTTCCTGGTGAGTGAAGAGGAGCGGACCTCTGGGTGCACTTGATCACACCCCCCTTTTTCTCTGCATTCGCAGCCTGCTGTAGTTCAGACTTGATTGCATGGGCTCATATGGACTTACTGGACATGGGAAGCTAGCCTAGTTCCCAGAGGGATAAACTACAGAAGTCTTTTTTAAAAGTCTCCAAAATCAAACCATTTTTGATAGCTATTAAGGAGAAGGTAGGTTCTATTAAGAGAAACCCTGTGCAGTATAGTCACCTTCAGAAATTATCCCAGAAACCCCTAATACAGTCTCTGGCAAGTTTTAAAGGTGAACACACAGTACAGAAAACGTACTCTCATGCCTTGGGGTGGGGGTGGGGGGGATGGTAAACTGGTACAACCTGTTTAGATGGTAACCTAGTAGTTAGTATCCAAACTTGAACTATGCAGACCCAACAAACTCAGTCTAGGGATTTGGGCTATGGAAAAACTTGGAGAAGCGGACAAAAATAAGCACAAATATTTTATTGCAGATCTCTGTTATAGTGAAAAATTGTCAACTCAAATGCCAATCAGTTAAATAAATTTTGGTAATTCTATTAGCAATATAATGCAGTTACTACAAAGAATAAATGATGTTATAGTTAGCATGGAATCTGATGGCAGAAAAACTTGGTTTTGTGCTGACCGTAACAGCTGTGTGCCCCCAATCAAGTCAGTCTCAGCCTGTTTATAAAGTGTAAATGGGGGTGATAGTGCCTCACCTCATTCAACATTCACTGCCCCAGTAGTTGAGCATAGAGTAANACGTAACAGCTGTGTGCCCCCAATCAAGTCAGTCTCTCTTAGCCTGTTTATAAAGTGTAAATGGGGGTGATAATGCCTCACCTCATTCAACATTCACTGCCCCAGTAGTTGAGCATAGAGTAAACCAGGCACTGTGCTAGGCACGGCGTTTATTCAGAGAGACAGGGGGTTTACTGTCTAGTTGGGCACAGACAATGAAATGAGCAACTCCANTGTTTATTCAGAGAGACATGGTGCCTTCAGGGGGTTTACTGTCTAGTTGGGCACAGACAATGAAATGAGCAACTCCAAACGGTGCTGGGCTCAAAAGCAGAGTGTTCCCCAAACTGCCCTAACACTGTCACAGCTCACGCAGAGATGATTTACACAGAGCATTTAGAAAAGCAAAGGAGNAAACAGGGTGCTGGGCTCAAAAGCAGAGTGTTCCCCAAACTGCCCTAACACTGTCACAGCTCACGCAGAGATGATTTACACAGAGCATTTAGAAAAGCAAAGGAGTGGGGAAGTTAGCACAGACTCAAGCAGACTACCTGTGTTCTAATTCTGGCTCTGCCATACACACTGGCTGTGTCACTTTCCACAGTTCCTTAACCTCCTGGCCTATTTCCTCATCTGTAAAATGGGGATAATATCAGTACCTACCTCACAGAGTTGTTATGGTGACTATTGAATAGTGCAGTACTATAAAGTGCTTAGATACTTATAAAGTGCTTAGAGCAGGACCTAGTATATATGTGGCGCTATATAAATGTCTTTCAAGTGCACAGTAAGTCCCTAATGTGTCATTACCATAGCCACTTTAAAATCAGGACAGAGAAACCCCATACCTGTTGGTGTTTTAATTTTGATCAACTCAGAGGTAGTTAAAATGTAGTCAATGAATGGGGAAGCCATGTCCTAGTGATCTAGTGTGGGAACAGAGTCCCTAAGACAGCAGCCTGGTTTCCAGATTAACTACGGGGTGAGGGAGAGCAAAAGATGTGTTTTCCAGGAGAGCCAAAAGGAAAGGATGGTGTATCCATAGGGTCCTTTTGGCCAAGATAGAGCAGTCCCCCAACCCCTGCGTTTTGAGGTGCTTTCCATTCACAGGCAATCCAAGGGCTGCCCGGTCTTGGTTTCCAGGCTGCATATTTTGGGGGGACTGAGCTGGAAGCCTTATCATGGAGCCTTATTACTTCCCCTGTCTTAGCCACGGTGTGGCTGCCTGGGGTATGTGTGTCTGCTAAGGAGGCAAGTAGGTGAGAGTGCCTGGGAGCCACCCTGATTCACATCTTAATTACTGGAGCAAAGTTATTCAGACCTTGCCCAACCAAGCTGCTGTGGCCCATTTCCCAACCACTCCTTTCATCCCTTCTTGCCTCTGCTTGCATTGACTGAGCATGCTGTGTTTGCCAGGTATCCCTGTGAATGGGTCAGAGTATAAACTGACTCTAATCTGGAGTTATTAGAAGCATTGGACTCAAACAAGCAGACTGCGTCCNCAGGTATCCCTGTGAATGGGTCAGAGTATAAACTGACTAATCTGGAGTTATTAGAAGCATTGGACTCAAACAAGCAGACTGCGTCCAAATCCTACCTACCAACTCCTCAGCTGTGTGGTCTTAGGCAAGTGACTTAGGTTCTCTGGGCTTGTTACTCATCTAAGAAATGAGGATAATTCTTTCTTCCTCACTAGTTTTTGATTGGCTTAATGAAATCATGGATGGGAAAATATAAGTTTTAAAATATTGGGCACCTATGAGGGCTGCTTATTGAGATTTATCTTTAACCAATCAGTGTCTCTCTCAGAAGCCTGGACACTAACTCCATCAGGTGGTACAGTTTTTTCAGATGTGGTTTCCATATTAAACCAAATCAACAGTCTCTGGCACTCTGCATTGAGCTCTTAGTCTGGAAAATGCTATTCGCTCTTATCAGTGAGGGCCACCAAATGTCCTTAACTCTACTTGACAGGGCAGCAGTAAGCAGCACATCTTCACTTTCTTATTTCACTTTCTCACTTTCTTACTGTGTCAACTTTTCTGTTCTCTGGCATCATCTAGTCTGTGGAGACCTGGATTATCCTGATGTCCCCATAAGAAAACACTGATCCACTACATTGATGGCATCATGCTGTACCCAGTGAGCAGGAGATAGCAAGTACACCAGATGTTTTAGGAAGACCCAAGCATGCCAGAGGGTGGTATATAAACCCCATGACATTCAGAAGTCTGGCACCTTGGTGAACTCTCTAGGGACCCAGGGGTTAGGAAACATCAGGTTATCCCTTCCAAGTAAAAGGCAAGTTGCTGCTCCTATCCCTAAGAAAAAAGCACAACAGGTAGCCCTCTATGAATCTGGGAGGCAACATACACACATTTGTGTGTGCTGCTTTAAACCATTCATTGAGTAACCCAGACATAGGACAGCCAGTTTTGAATGGGTCCCAAAGCAGGTTCAGGCTGAAGTGCAGCATGCTCTGTCAATTGAGCTGTATGACCCAGTGGATCCAATGGTGTTTAAATTGTCTGTGGTATTTAAAATTGGCATTTCCTCTTAGCCCCCAGCAAGCCCTAATAGGAAAATCTCTGCCCATCCCTAGGACTTGGAGATATGGAACAAAGGCATGTCCTCTTCTGCAAATAACAATTGTCCTTTAAAATATAGAGTCTGACTTGTTACTGGTAGAGACAGCACCTGACCATGAGACATCAGGTGACTGTGCACCCTGAGCTGCCCATCCTGAACTGGGTGTCATCTGATCGATCAAGCTATAAAGCTAGGCATGTACCGCAGCATTCTATCATCAAGTGAGAGTGAAACCGCTCAGACTATGTATGCCACCTCTTCCTGCCACCTCTTCCTCAGTCAATACCTAAGGCCCCATGGCAAATGCCCTATGATCAATTGATGGAGGAAGAAAAAGCTCAGGCCTGGAACCAACTGGAAGTGGGTGGTTGCAGCACTATATATAGGAAGGCCCTGAAAGACATTGGCGAAGGGAAATCCTTTCAGTGAACAGAACTTCAAGCGGTATAGTCAGCCCTCCATATCTGCAGGTTTCACATCTGTGGATTCAACCAACTGGGGATCAAAATATTTGGGGGGGAAAAGTTACATTGTTGTTGTTTTTTAATTTATTGATTTTAGAGGGAGGGGGAGAGAAACATAAACTTGTTGTTCCACTTATTTATGCATTCATTGGTTGCTTCTTGTATGTGCCCTGACCAGAGNGAGAAACATAAACTTTTTGTTCCACTTATTTATGCATTCATTGGTTGCTTCTTGTATGTGCCCNAACATAAACTTGTTGTTCCACTTATTTATGCATTCATTGGTTGCTTCTTGTATGTGCCCTGACCAGAGATTGAACCTGCAACTTTAGGGTATCAGGACAACACTCTAACCAACTGAGCTACCTGGTCAGGACACATTGTTGTTGATGTGTGCTGTGTAGTTAGGCTTATGATGGCTGCATCTGTACTAAACACGTAGAGACTTTTTTTCTTGTCAACATTCCCTCAACAATACAGTACAACAACTGCTTCTATAGCATTTACATTGTATTAGGTGTTATAAGTAATCTAGAGATGATTTAAAGCATACAAGAGGGGGAGTGTAGGCTATATGCAAATACTATGCCATTTTATATAATGACTTAAGCATCTGTGGATTTTGGTATCCGTGGGGGGTCCTGGAACCAATCCCCCACAAATAATGAGAGACAATTTTGCACATGGTTGTCTATATAGATGGAGATAGAAGTTCAGAAATATGGATCTACACATATTTATGGGATGGATGGTTTGACTATATGATCAGGCTTGGAGGATTGGTAATAAGGTCTGTGGGAGAAGGTACATAGACGGACCTTCTTCTTGGGTACAGAAGAAGAGGATATTTGTCTTCTATGCAAATATTCCCCCTAAAGGTACACACTTAAGAGGAAATGCTCAATAAATAGGTAGACCAGATGACTTACTCTGTAGATGTCAGTCATTTCCTTTCCCCAGCAACCCTATCCTTGCTCAATAGGCTCACATACAAAATGACCATGGTGATCAAACTAGAGGTTATAAGAGGACACAATAACATGGATTTCTTCTCATCAAGACTAATTTAGCTAAAACCATCGTAAAGGGCCCAGTTTGCACAGAATTCCTGACATGGCACCATTCCCCAGGAACTAGCCACCTAGTGACGGGTTGATTACATTGACGTCTTCCATCATGGAGGGAGCAGCAATCTGCATGTTCTATTATAGTATATGGATTTGCCTTCTTTGACCTCCACATCCATGGACACCTTGGTTCCAGTCTTCGTATTCCATACAACACTGCTTCTGACCGAAGAGTTGATATTACAGTAAAAGAAATGCAGCAGTGTGATTATATCTATGGAATTTTCTGTTCTTATCAGAAAATGTAGTCTACTATCTAGAAGCAGCTGATTTGTAGAACATTGAGATGGCCTACTGAAGACTCCCTTATAGGGCCAGCTGGGAGACACTGCAATGTCGGGGTGCTGTCTACAGGGCACAGAATATACTTTGTACCAACTACAGTGCTGTTTCTTCCACACACAGAAAACATGGATCCAGCAATGCTGAGGTGGAAATGGGATGGACTACTTCCACTATTGCACAAAATAACCCATTCACAAAAAGGTTGCTTTCCATCCCTGAAACTTTGGACTTTGATGGCTAGAGATTATAGTTCTCAAAAAATGAATGCTTCTATCAGGGGATAAATACGTTGGTTGCCACTTGGCCATTTTGAGCTCCTTATATCATTGCAACTATAGGCAAAGAAGTAGGTTACTCTACTGGCTCCCATGACTGGTCCTGATCACCGAGGGTAAATCAGGTTGCTGCTACAGTGGTGGCATGGAAGCCTGTATGGGAACTAGAGGATTCTCTGGGTTCCCTGCTATACTTCCACATCCAACAGTAAAAGATTAATGGAAGGCTATAGCAGTGTAAGTCTAAGTTATTTTACCAGTAAAATACCCCAACCATGAGGTGCTGGCTGAGGGCAAAAAGAACAGAAATGGTAGTGGAAAAAAGAGAAATTATAAATATCAACAGTAGCCTTGGGATCAGTTATAGAAATGAGGGCTGTTGCAGCAATGAGTGTTTTCTTTCCTGCTTGTCACATATGTGTATATTGCATCTAAGGAATGCTGGTGATGGTTAAATTGACATTTTAATCTACAGATTCTAGTATATTGAGGTATGCCTGTGATCTCTAGGACCAGAGGTGGACTGAGAAAAGAATCCAACATCATCCAGGGTGATGTTACTGACTGGTGGGGTTTTGTGGGTCTCATTTCTGGAAAGAAGGTGTATCCTCATTTGAGAACATTGGTCCTGTTAGGATTAAGCATGCTGTTATTGTTCTTGAGTGGAGTTTAATTATGAGTGAGAGGGTCTGTGTAGATGTTTATGTAGCCAAAGGGGTAGACAGTGTTAGGAAATGCCTCTGGTGTCTAAGTGCTTGCCGTGTCTTGGCCTTGGCTCTTTTTTTCTTTTCATCTTGATGGAAAAAATTCTTATACATATTTATAAAATAAATAAAACCTTGCCTTATGTTCCACAACTTATACTTCTGGTTTAATGTTCTTGGGGGCATTTTCATACATTTTTCTCTCTGAGAAGTTGTGGGGACACGTGCCCTGGAAGCCCCCTGAAAGTCCATGTACATGAGCACATGGCTGTGAACATGCTACTGTGAAGCACTGTGTCCAAGTGAGGTGGGTTTATGTCAAGAGCAGAACTTTGCAAAGTCTATCCAGGAACCATTCCTATGCTCAGTAACTTGAAACCTGAACTCAACTCTTGCTAGCTCTGGTGGGGCACTGAGTCCAAACCTTGTGTCTCCACCCCTCTGATCCCAGCCTTTGGAAATGAGAGCTAGATGGACAACACAGGTTTACAAATGAAAAGCAACTGCTTCTCCTGGATGCTTTATTGGGGGCTTTCAGTGGTTTCTAAGCATGAGCGGCAGTGACACCCAGACCTTCTCCCAACATGCAAAAGGCACAGGAAAGTGAGACAGGACCAGGGTGGGCAGCATAGATGCAGAGACCCCCCTGTGTGGCATGGTGGGGCACAGGAGGCACCCCACAAGTGATAGGGAAGGTGGGCATTAAAGGAGATGGCTTTGGCAGAGGCTGGGAGAGGGACTTGAGGTTCATCCACCCCCAGACCCACCCCTACACTCAGGCTAGACTGACCTTCTAAGACGGTGGACATGGCTTTTGTGGAAAGTCCACCTCACAGGGTGGGAGATATCAGCTCCAGGTGGGAATAGGAGGATGGATGCTGCCTTCAGGGATTTCCGGTAAGGTGCCAGACCAGACTCACTGGCACATCAGGAGGGGAACGAGGGTGTGCTCATGGGGCTGGTCCCAGTCATGGTTTGGTGGTTGGGTGCCACTGCCTTGGCTTGAGCCAGTGCTGTCTCAGTTCATGTCCAGGAGAAGAATGAAGTTCCTTCCGATCTTCAGGGGCCTCCCATGGAGTCTCGGGTCTCTAGCCCCACCCAGAGGTACCACTTAGAAGAGTTGAGTCTTGATGTTGGCTTTGTCCTGTGGAAGAGTTCCCTGGGCAAGAGGGAAGGGAGGCGAGGGGTCAGGCCCTCTGAGCCCCCAGCACCTCCCAGAATCTGGACCCTGGTGGGTGAAATGGCCTGGGACTCACCTCAGATCCTAACCAGTCCCCACAGTTCCATCTTGAGACCTTGAATCAAAAGAAAAGGCATTCGTGTTTTGTTTCTGTTCTTTCTCTCCTGTAGTAGAGCCGTGGCTTCAATTCACGGCATTGGCAACGTCTACTTCTAAACTATGGAATGTTTTCACATTGACAATAGAATTACTCCGAACAAGGGGTGGGGAGGGGCTGTCCAAGTGTTCGAGTCAGTGCGTTACTGAGGGCTCATTGGGGATCACACAGCACAGAGACACCAACAGTCAGACACCAAGCTCAGGCCTGGCTCGGCTCTAGATGTATTTTTTCTTGAGGTACCAGTAGGCAAAATAGCCCATCCCGCCCAGGGAGCCCATAAGGAAGGAGGCCCCAAAGAAAGACGGCGGTTTCCGCTTGACCAGCCGGAAAGCATTGGGGATGACGGCTGATAGCAGGGTGGTATGAATGTCACCGAGGACTTTCCGGAAGGCAAAGCGCTTCTGGACCCTCTCAAAGAAGGACTGCAGGTTGGGCCGGCTGCCGTCTTCCCAGTATTTCTTGGACAGTCCCAGGAACTTGAGGCGGTGCAGGGTGGCTCCCAGAAGGACGTCGGCGAGGGTGAAGGCACAGCCGCAGAGCCACAGCTCACATTTCTGCCCTAGAGTGGAAGAGAGGCGATGGGGGCAGGAGGGATCAGCTTTCCAACCCCCATGCATGCACTCCTCTCTCGGTGACTCCTCTGCTGTTTGTCTGCCTGCCGAGCCGTTTCCGGGTCATTCACTCCAGTACAGCTTTAATGATTTTTGTCATATCCTTTTACTCCCCTATCAGTTGTTTCTTTAAATCAACTGACTTTATAAGTGCAAGCACTGAGCTTTGGGACTTCAAGATTTAGATATTGGGTAACAGGAAGAACCAGTGAAGGAGCAGGTTGGGAGGTGGGAGACGGCCCACGAGTGTGTGGTGTCGTGGAAACAAGATAAGAAAGTGTTCCAAGGAGAAGGGAGTACTCAGCTGTGTTCAGATGCTGCGGAGAGGTCAAGTAAGAGGAGGCCTGAGAATGGCAATTGCATTTGGCAGCCGGTGACCTTGACAAAAGCAGCTGGAGTAGATGTTCACAGTGAAAGCCTGGCTGGAAGGAGTTCAAGTGAGAAACGGAGGGAAGAATTGGAGAGGTAAGCAAAGATCACCCGTTCAAGGGGTTTTGCTGTAATGGAAAGGCTGCACTAATAATTTGACATGGGTCAAGAGGGGTTTTGTAAGTTGGGAGGAAAAAGCCAGCGTGTGCATGGGGATGATCTAGCAGAGAAGAAGAAATGACTCTAGAGGACAGAGTGGAATTACTGATGGGATGTCCTTGAGTGGTTGAGTGTGAATGGCATCTGAGAAACAAGGAAAGGACTGGTCTTAGCTAGTTCGAGGACAGCTCATCCTTGGTAATAAGAGAGTAGAGGGTACCATAGTTCATCACATCTAAGTTGCCATCAGATGTTAAGACATCCACCCTACAGAGAAAAAGTGATGCCAGTTAAACTAAGTTAAGGTACGATTTAACAAAGGTGAATCTTAGAACTGATAAAACGCAGTGTATGTATGGACACTAATGCTGGTGGGCACGTTGTTGTGGAGGTCAGAGCTGTGAGATCTCTTCCCAATGCTTCCATTTTCTGTGATACAGAAAGAAAGTGTTCAGCTGAGAGTGAGGACGTTGGAGGGGTGAGGAGAAAGGAGGAGGTATTACGTAGTCATCTGTAGGGGCGACAGTGGGAGGCCTAGGGCAGCAGGAAGGCCATCTAAGGCCAGTGGCCATGAAGTCAACGCGAGAGCGGCCAGCACCCCCGTGTGTTTCTCCAGCCACATGTAGGTTCACAGGTGCAGGCGCCGAGTAGGTGGAGAGCTGGGCTTGACCAGGTTTGAGGTTTTGCAAAGCGAGTATGATGAAACGAGAGAAGGGCAAGGGAGTGGAAGGTGCAGGCAAGGGCGTGCTCATGGTGACGGTCAAAGAATTGCCGCCGGGGATGGCGGAGGGGAGCGTGGCAGGGGCGAGGGCAGTGAAAGGGGGAGGCACAAAGAGGCACGAGGCCCCGGCTGCCGTCTGGATGAGTGGGGACAGGTTTGAGAACGGGACCAGGGACAGCCCCCGGGCGCTCCAAGGTTTAGAATGGGGCAACGAGGAGACACCAGCAAGGGCACGCCGGGAAGAGCAGCCCGTGAGGAGGGCGAGAGACAGGAGAGCTGTCCTTTCCGGAACCCTCACTACGATCCCATCAAGTAGGCGCTATTATCCCCAAGTTACGGGTGAGGGAACGGAGGCAGAGAGAGTTACTTAACTTCGTCAAAGCCACGCGCCAAGTAAGCCACCAACAGCCGTGGGACCAGACCCAGGGGCGCCTTCCTATCCTTGGTTTACACAGCCTCCCAGGCCCTGTTGGGTGCCTGTGACACAGGCCCTCCTCCCTCGCTGGCCACCCCATCTCAGCCGGCTTCGGCTGCTCCTCTGCCTCTGCCCCGTCTCAATGTGGGGGACCTCAGGGCAGGCGTGGAGTGTTAAAATGTGTCCACAGATTGATTCTGCTCCCCTGGTGTATTTCATGTCTTGCTTCTAAGGAATGGAATGTGGCTGAAGTGACAGTGACTCCCAGCTGCAGGTCATAAAGACATGGTGGCTTCTGCGGCTTCTCCCTCTCGTGATCACCTGTTTGGAGAAAGCCAGCTGCCATGCTGCAGAGAAACTCAGCAGCCCTATCGAGGTGCCCACACGGTGAGGAGCCAAGGTCTCCTGCCAATAGTCAGTGAAGAACTGAGACATCTAGTTAAGAGCCCTGAGAATGAGCCATGAGCCATCTTGGAAGCCAACCCTCCAGTTCAAACGACCAGAGCCCCAGCCAGCTGCTTGACTGCAGCCTGCACCACACAATCCTGACTAGACCACCTAGCTCTGCTGCTCCAGAATTCCTGGTCCACAGAAAATGTGTGATGTAAGAAATGCTTTCTGTTTAAGATACTAAGTTCAGGAGCAATTTGTTATGCAGCAGCAGATAACTAATGCAGCAGGTCTCATCCCTCTGTTTGTCTCTCTCCACTCTCTCCTAGATGAAATCATCCAATCCTATGGCTTTAAGCACCACATATGTGCTGAAGACTTGTAAATCTCTATCTCTAAATTCTGACCGCTCCTTTGAAAGTGACACTAGACTATCTAATGGCATATGTGATACCCCCTCTTGGGTGTCTCAAAGGCATCTCAAACTTACTGTGTCTCAAAGTGAACACTCAGTCCCCCTTGCCCATATCAGGACTCAGCACTGGCTCCATCTAAGGGCCTTAACTATGACATTATAATACCTCCCAGCCCTGGCCTCTTCCCCACAAGGAGAGGTGGAGGGCATCCCCTCCAGGCAGGTTTGGGGGTGCCCTGGTAGGTGAATGATCACCAGAGACCATGTGGGCCCAGCCAGCCTGACCTTTAAAACCCACAGCCACCTCCCTGGGCCTCTGCTGCCTCCCTCGGCCTGGAGGGACACAGGACTGCCCACACCTCTCCATCTTGAACCACCCCACTCATCTGGCTGTCGGGCAGTACAATGCTGCCTCCCCTTGGATGACCTCAGGACCAAAACAGAGAGGGGGGCAGGAGGCTCTCAGGATAGGATCGCTTGAGGAATGTGTGCCCACAGTAATTCTCCAGGACCAGCAACTCTGGCCTCCATCCAGGTCAGATCCCATGTCTCCCTCGGTCATAATAGCAACTAATTTTTAATATTTGCAGACACTTCAAATGCCATGTGCCAGACAATGTGCTGAACTCCTTACATGCATTTTCTCACTGATCCTTACAACAGCCCCGTGAAGCAGGTGCTCATTTAATACCCTTTTAGAGAACAGACAAGGCTCCAGAGCTAGTGCTTAAGAACAACTCCAGGAGACAGCACTTGAATCCAGGCTCCACCACTTCTATCTGTGTGACCTTGGGGAGATTACTGAACTTCTCTGTGCCTTAATTTTTTTCATCTGTTAAATGGGGTTGCTCATATTACCTACCTCCTAGAGTAGTTATGGGATAAAATGAGTTGAAATATGTGAAACACTTAAAACAGTGCCTGGCACACAGTAAGTGTTGTTAAATATATAAATCGTTATGAACTGAATTGTGTCCCTCCAGAATTCATATGTTGAAGCTTTAACCCCCCCAGTATCTCAGACAGTGACTGTATTTGGAGAAAGGCACTTTAAAGAAGTAAGTTTGCTGTAGCTGGGTAGCTTAGTTGGTTAGAGCGTTGTCCTGATACGCCAAGATTGCGAGTTTGATTCCTGGTCAGTGCACATGCAAGTATCAACCAATGAATGCATAAATAAGTGGACCAACAAACTGATATTTCTCTCTTTCTTTCTCTCTCTCCCCCTTCCTCCCTCTCCCTAAAATCTATCAATAAAAAATTATTTAAAAAATAAAGAAGTAAGTTAAAATGAGGCTGTTAGAATAGGTCCTACTCCAGTCTGGCTGGGTCCTTATAAGAAGAGGAAACTTTGCTGCACAGACACCAGGGGCATGTCCACAGAGGAAAGATGTGAAGACACAGCAAGATTGCAGCCATCTGTAAGCCTGAGAGAGAGGCCTCCAAAGAAGCCACACCTCAGAAAAAACCAACACCTTGATCTTAGACTTTTAGCCTCCAGAACTGTGAGAAAATAAGAGTCTGTTGTTTAAGCCATCCAGTCTGTGGTGTTTTGTTATGGCAGCCCTAGCAAATTAATGGGTAAATATATAAAATGCACCTGAGAATTAAGGTCACCCAGTGAGAGAATGGCAAAGCTGGGGCTCTGTCTGACCCCAAAGGGCTTTGGCCCCTAAGCACTCCATTGTAATGGCTCCCTCAGCACCCTCTCTGGCAGAAATGACAACAAGGTGGGGTTAAGGTTTTAAATTGCATTATTATCATCCCATTTTACAGATGAGGAAGCTGAGGATCCAGTAGAGAAAATAACCTGTCCAAGTCACACAGTACAGGCAGCAAAGCTAAAACTCTAACCCAAACGTGTCTGACTCTAAACTCATCTTTTATAACACTGTGCTCCAAGTAGACGTGTGTGTGTAGCTGTGAGTGTAGCAGCGCATGTTGCATAGGCTCCATAAATTGCATAACTGAATAGACAAGACTAACATTCTGCCTAAAACAGCAATAGGAACGTCTGGAGTGAAATTTGGAGAAGAGCTGTGGCAAAGATGTTATATAAAAGGAAAAAGAAGAGGGTGCTCTAGGCTGGAAGTACTGCAGGAGCAAAGGTGTGGAGGTGGGAATGAAGCTGGCCTGCTCAGGGTCCAAAGAAGAGAGCCACTTGAGAACCGAAAGAGTGAAGGTCAGAGAGTTTGGGTGACCCTGGATGTCAGCACAAAGAAGCCATAATATATATCCTTGGTCAGAGGGAAAGTCACCATCACCACCACCACCGTCATCATCTTCATCAACCTTTATAAAATGCCTACTGTGTGCTAAGTGATCTAAGCACTCTACATGTATTATTTTATGCAATTTCTCAACATCTCTCTTAGGTAGGTCTTATTATTATCTTCATTTTATATATAGAAACTGAGATCCAGGGAGGTGAAGTACCTGACCCATGGTCACTCAGCTAGTAAGTGGTCAAGCTCGGACTTAAACCTGGGTCTGCCCGTCTCCATGGCCCATGATCTTAACCACGAGGGAGGGGGCCTCTGAGATCTTTGGGGAAAAAAGAGCCTGGAACTGGTTAGCGTCAGGGTGGGGAAGGGTGAATGGGCAGCAGCACCCACCTACTCCAGGGCTGGTACCCACCCTCATTCTCAAGCTTCCTTTTCTCCAGCTCGGCCTCGATCTGGTCCAGCACCATGGCCAGCTCCCCAAGGATCTTCTTCAGGTAGCTCACGTCGTCATGCTCCAGGATCTTGGCCTGGGGGCAGGAGAGGCAGGAGCCAGAGGAGCTGAGTTGGCCTCAATAAAGCGGGATGCCCAGAGCTTGGCCCAACACCTTTCTGCAAACCCAACCTCCAAATATCCCCTCAAGAGTATAGGATGCCCCACTGTTACCAAGCACCCTCAGCTAGTCCTCACAATATTCGGGTGAGCTTGGCTGTCCTGCCCAGATCCCTCTCATGGGGCTGGTACTCTCATACACCAGCTGCTGGGAGAGTTGGTTGATAGTGGCTCATAGCTGACCCTTCTCCAGAGAATTGCTCTTGACCAATGAGGAGGTGTCCAGAAATACTTGGGAAGTTATCCTACGCCCTTCAACCCTTTAACCCCTTGCCAGGCAATCTGTAGCCAATGGCTGACTGATATAAGAATATAAAAGGCTGGGCCTTGGCCTCCAGGTGGATTGACTTGGTGCCACTTGTGCTCCAGAGCTCCCTGTGGGATTAGGTGAACTTGGTCCTTTCCTCTTTTCTATCCCTTCCATCCTTACTGGGTTGTCTTCAGAACACTCCCTCAATGCCCAAGAACCTCTGTCCAATGAATGCTTTTACAGACATGACCCAAGACATGAGGAAACTGAGGCTTCAGGGGGAGAGTGGCTTTCCCAAGGTAAAATAGCCAGTAAATGACATAGGAGACAGGACTGGAAAAGCAAACCAATGGATTTCCCATTTCATGTCATCAGCTGATCCTCTACCTTGAACCAACTTCTCCCAGTTGTTCTTTTCCATGAAAAAGATGGCGGGAAAGAGGAATGAGCAGGCCTGGAGGCACTCACCATGAGCTTCTTCTGTTTAGAAAGATAGGGCTCAGAGAGCTGGGGCTCCTCTTCATGGTCCAATTTCATGAGGTCTGTGGTGGCGTTGGCTAAATGTCCTGGGCAAAGAATGGGAAAGGTCCTGTCTTTCTGAAACTCAGTGTCACCCCATCCCTTCCCCCACAAACTCAGAGTAGGTCCCATGCAAACATTGGTCTGAAAAGTAACAATATCAACAGGCAACACTTAGTAGGCACAACAGGCTGCAGCAAAGGGATGGGTGAGATGTCATCCTACCGTAGGCTCAGGATAGTGGGGGAGACAGTCATCTAAAGAGATCCCTATGATACAGCATGGTCAGCTGTAATGAGGAGTGGACAGAATGCTGTGGGACCCAGAGGCCCACCTTCCTGAGGCACAGGCATCAAGAAACCTCACTGAGGAGGCCACTCTACTCTTGGGGATGAGGAGTTTGTCAGAAACGAATATAATGCCAAACTTGGAAAAACTCACGCTTGAGTGAGTGTCTCTCCGAGCCCCCTTCTGTAGTGAGGAAACAGGTTCAGAAGGGGTACATAATATTCCACACTTGTGAATGACAAGCATGTTTTGAACATAGGTCTGCCTGATTCTTGGTCTAGTGCTCGCTCATTGTACCCCACGAAGAAAAACTTGTTTATTGCAAGAAAAACTGTAAGAGACTTCTGGTGTCCTGAAACTTCCACTTGTGGTGAGGTAACTTCCTTGAAGATTTAGGGACTTGATGACCCATCTTTCCTTGGAAAACTGGCCTTGATACCAAAAAGTTTGAGGGTGAAAGAAAGTGGGTCAATGATGGGAATTCAAGCCAGCATCTTGAGAATTATCCTTAATGGGAGAGAGGTAGTGTCCTATAATCTAACTTTAAAAAGCTTTAACTTTGAAAGTCTAACTAAACTATGGGTTTTACCTCTGTCACCTGCACTTTCTCCACTCCTGCCAGAGACACCTTCCTCAAAACACACTTGACCATGGCACTCCCTACTTAAAACCCATCCCAGGCTCCTCACTGCCCTCAGATAATGTCCAGGCTCCTCAACTGGCCTTAAAAGACCCAGCAGGGCCCATCTCCTCTCCCCTCACTGATTCCCTCTTTCACTGAGTTCCCCCAACTGTCCCTGTCCCCAGATGGTAACATTTTAACCACTCCAAATGCTCGACATTCCCTGAATGTGCCTGACCATTCCAAACCTCCAGGCCATTGCTCACACTCTTCTTCCTCTCAGAATAGCCTTCTTCGTATTCCTGAAAATCCCCAGATCCAGCTCAAGACTACCTCCTCCATGAAGCCTTTCCTGATCTTCTAGGAGATCTGATCACACAATGCCTTGGTCCTCCAGTGTACACTGTACAGAATCCTGCCAGAGAATGCAGACACACTAATCAGAGCTGCCACTGCACAGTTCCATCACACTGCAGTCGATGCGAAAAGCGCCCCCTGTGTTGTGCAGTGCACAACCTGTACTGCTGTACATGGAGATTTTGATGCTACTGTACTTATCTCTGGGTGTGTTCCCCACTAGAATCTGTCAGATTTATCTCTGTTCTCTGAAGAGCTGGTAGAGACCTGGCACAGGAAAAGAGCTCAGTGAGTGTTGAATGAATGAATGAAATGACTGAGTAAATGAGTAACAGAAGTTCAGTTTCTGACTTCTGAGATTTCTCCATTCACCACCCTATCTCCTGGTTGATAAAACCCAACACACTCCCAGATCTTTCAGCTTTGGGGCTATATTAAGCCTTGCTGATGTTTCATAAATGTGAAGGTCAAGTACAGCATCTTCTCTCTTGCTAGTCACTGGGGCTGCCCTTATGGTTCTCTTTAGATTGCAGGGGCGCAGACCAGGCCAAGGAAAGACCTTGGACTTCTGCATCCCGTGAGGTCTCTCCACTCCTCCCCAGTTGGGCAGGAGCCCTGGGATCCTTTCAGCCTCTTCAAAGGAGGAAGCAGCTGGGCCTGCTCCGGATGCCCTACTGCCTTCCAGGCACCTTCAAATGGCTTAAGCTAGGGAGGGGGAGCACCTCCAACCTCCAGAAACACGTAGGGCCTGTCTCTACCTAGTCCAGGCCACCATAATTGCTCACCTAGATGACAGTCAGGACCTCCTTCCTGCTCTGCCCATTCTCAGTTGGATGATCTTTGTAAAGTGCAGATCCGATCATGTCACTTCCCATCACTATTTCTCCATTGCTCTTTGGATAAAATTCCAGTTCTGCTAGACCTACTCCCCAGACGCACACCACCACCTCTTGCATCTCCCTTGGGCTCTATACTTCAACCACACTGAACTCCCCAGAACACACCATGCCCTCTCCTACCCTTGAATCTGAAAGGATTCTCCCTCTCCTTCCCCTTCTAACCCATCCTTGGACGTTGGTCATCCCTGGACATTTCAGAACCCTCCATGACCCCAGAGGTTGGGGCTGGCATCTTCTATGGTCCCACAGCCTCCTTATCAAACAGTTTGGTTTTGAACAGATTATGCACACATACTTGTCTAAAAATTCAAACCACATTAAAGAATGCTCAGTGAAGAGTAAATCTCCTCTCAATCTGTAGTCCCTTTTTCCACTCCCCAAAAGCAAGCGCTACTGGCAGCTTCTCGTGCATCCTTCCAGAAATACTCGTTGCTTTTGCAAGCACTTGTGCATCTATTTAACCTCTTTTTAAATATATCAACAATAGCACTCTGATGCTTTTTTTTTTGCCTTCACTTTTTTCTACTCACTAATATATCGTAAAGAGCATTCCATATCCTTTTTTTTAAAAAACAGCTGCACAGTGTTCTATTGTCTGAGAAGACTAGAATTTATTTACCCAGTTCCCAACTCTTGGACAGCTGGGTTATTTCCATCCTCTTGCGACACCACCTGTACTGCAATGAATGTCCTGTACACACTTGGAGCACACATCCAAGGGGAACTGCAGGGCAGTCTCCCAGGTCTGGTCCGTTCTGTATTTGAGAGAGGGCCAGACTGCCGCCGAGGGGTGGTTCAAGTTTACTTAGTCCCACACTGTAATTACCTGGTCACTTGTCTTTCTGCTCCCCTGGAACTGTGACCCTGGGATGATAGCTGTGTCTGTCCTCATCTGTCCCCAGCCCCCTGCCCGGGGCCTGGGTCATAAAAACCTCATGAATAGTGTTGATGAATGGGAATGGGACAGTATTGATGAGTCCTGAGTCTCGTTCAAGGATGAGAGTGAGTTCCACAGCCTGCCCCTTTCCCGCCTTCGAGCATCAGCCTTACTCCTCTCAGAGGGGCTGAGGCCGTGTCCTGGGCACCTACCGCCTACTTAGGATAATGACGCCTGTAGGACGCCATGGTATCTGCGCAGAGCCTGGACAAAAGCCTGTAAACACTTGTTGGTGGGCACCCTGCCTTAGCCCCACCCCCACTCACTGGGTGCTGGAAACAGGAGGAACTAGGCCACGGGCACGTCCCGGCCAGCAGGACCCGGGCGACGCTCCGAGCAGGAGTCAGAGACCCCACAGGGGCCTTGCCGCCTGGGCAGCTCTCCTTGGTGGCGCCCACCCTGATCCACTCCGTGCTGGGCCACCAACCGCAGCCCTCACCTCCCTTGTCAGGACTCTGGGGAGTCAGACAGCCTGTAGCCTCTGGGAAGGCAGGACAAAGTGGGGGGCAGGAGACCGGGGTGAGAGACAGAGAGTGCGGAGAGGGAGAGACATTTCCCAGTGTGATGCAGGGTGAGTGGGCCGGAAGGAAGA